CTCTGTGATCCTCTGGTAGGGTTGGCCTTCGTAACTTTTCACCTGACACCTTTACTCGAAATGGAAATAAGCAAGAGAGTCCTCGAAGCCCAACTTTCCTCACATCTTCTACTTTACTTATATGAGATGTTTTCACCCTATTTCGTTTAAGATGATGAAGGACTGGCAGTTGAATTTTGTCACAATGACATGAGTAAAACTGGCGTTGCCGTGGAATTTCACATAACCCTGCTTTCCCAAAATGTGTTCTCATCCAAGGAGCACGTTAACAACTATGCCACATTGTCACGAGTGCCGTTGGGTCACATGGCAGATGTGCATTTCCCAATATCACATTCTTCGGATGAGAACACCTTGTGCGAAAGCAACGCTATGTGAAATTCAGTGGAAACGTCAGCTCAACTCATAGCATTTTGGGAAAATGCAACTACTAGTCCTTCATCACCTTAAACGAAATAGGGTGAATGATTCGCATATAACTGACTTACTGATAGTCTCGAAAACCTGCCTTATTTGGGTGAAAACTGCGGGTCGGCCAAGACGTGCCTCGTCGCGAGAGTCTCGCTGCTCGAGCGCCTCAATGGGTCTTCCAGCTTTTGGCTCTGTTGCCAACGCATTTGCCGTTCGAGTCCCGTGGGGCCGTGTCGAGGCTGCGGCCAAGCTCTTTGGGTCTTCCGTAATTTGGCAAAATCGGCCAGATTGTGCCTTATGGTATGAAGAAAAGCTGGGCTTTAAAGAATTTCCTGGTGACTTTGTGTGACTTGACATTTCATTTCAAGGCAAGAGTTGGTTGGAATGAATTCTTGAATGCGTCTCACCGGAAACCGAGGGAGGAATTGCTTAGAGTGGAGTGATAGCTGTTGAATTATGCGAAGGGACCTTTGCTTCAACTTTCTGCGACTGCGATGAATCTGTGCTGAACCTTCATCCTTCATGTGGCAGATATGGTCAAAGCCCATCAATATACTAGACCAAAATAATAGTATATTGATGGGCTTTTTCGTAAAGTATGCTTTCTGGCTTTGACCATATCTGCCACATGAAGGATGGAGGTTCAGCACAGATTCCTCGTGGTCACCGCACGTTGTGCAGAGGCATTCCTCCTTCAGTTTCCGGTGAGACCCATTCACAAATTCTATCCAATTAAATCTTACCTTAAAATGAAATGTCATGTAACACTGTATCTCAAACTGTCCCTTTGCGAGGTTGTCCTGGGTTCGGATGCGGCACAGTCCAGCTCTGGCCTCCGGTCCAAACGAGAACGTGTGGGCAAACTTGCTCGAGGCGACCAAAAGTCAACTGGTTTCGTTTCGACGTAGGTACCG